GCAGACTTCCCACGAAAGCTGGAACGTCAAAATCCAGGGCGCGCTCGTCCAAAAGCGTCGGCAAATCCGAATTCCGGCGTACTCGAGTCGGATCTGCCACCCGAAACCGGCATCGAATCGGAATCATCGCGTCGAAACGGGCCCTGGATGGTCCCAGACCCAACGAGTCTCAGGGCAGCCTCGGAGGCCCTGTCTAGACGCCGAACGTGCCCCTGGATCTCTCCCGTCGAAACTTGACGTCGCGTGCACGCGCCGCACAATCTTCTGGAGGCCCGCTCGGATTTCTCAGGTCGGCGCTGCCCCCCCCCAGAGTGTCATGAGTGTCATAGATCCAAGAAGTGAACGGCGAGCGAGGCTCAACCGTCACCCTCGGCCTCCCGGACAGGAGGAAGGGGCCCGCAGGCGCCAGCACCGACGGTCAGGGGAGTGGCAGATACGTCGTCGCTCAGCGACTCGCTGCCCAACCGAGACGGCGTGGTGCGTAGGGGGACAGCTGGTTCACCGCGTCACCGCGCAGTACTTCCCGACCGTCACCCCTGCCAAATCGGATGGCATGTGCATCTGTGCTTGTACCCCAAGGTGAGCGGACACAAGGTCCCAAGGGACTTACGGACCACATGCCCCCGCCTCTCAACCAAATGCACACTCCCCGTGCCTGGTACCCATCTTCAGGTCACGGGCGCAGCTAATGCGTCGCTGCCACGAGGAGGAGGAGGAGGAGGAGGAGGAGGAGGAGGAGGAGGAGGAGGAGGAGGAGGAGGAGGAGGAGGAGGAGGAGGAGGAGGAGGAGGAGGAGGAGGAGGAGGAGGAGGAGGAGGAGGAGGAGGAGGAGGAGAGGGAGGAGGAGGAGAGGGAGGAGGAGGAGGAGGAGGATAATGATAATGAGAATGTCAGTTCACTAAGTGAGAGGAAAAAAGGGCCTTAAATGTGGGAGAGGGGCTTCCTCCTCGGGTTGGCCTGTCGGCAGGCCTGCTCGGCCTTGCTCAAGACCTTCGGCCACTGTCCCGAGTGGATCCTCCTCAGATATTCAGCCCCCGTGTTTGTGGCCTTCTTCGAACAGGGTTCCTGGATGGCGGACTTACGCTTGTTGGAAAATGATCCACACACTCCACAAAACCACAAACTTAAACGCACGCTTAACATAAGTTGGTGGGTCTCGTGCGCCCAGCCCCCCGCGAGGTGAAGCTTCTGCTTAAATGGGAGCCTACAGAATTCCCCATTCACGTTCAGAGGCTTAAAGCAGGGGGAAAGTTTCCACTCGGTGGCCCGAGCCTGGAGAGCAGAACTGAAACACCTGGAACAGCGAAGACCCGAATCATCGAGCACGTGCTGGGACCCCAGTGTGGCTACTACAGACTGGGCAGGCGGAGGAGGGGGAGGAGGAGGTGGAGGTCCCGCCTTGCTCTTCACCCCCGTCTCGGCCTCAGCTGCCAAGACGTCCAGCGAGGCTCTCAGAAGCCTATGCCGTACAAGGTGTGCTCGTCGTTCGACTTGTAGCACTTCATGTCGTACTGCCGCTGGAAGTCGAGCGGCCAAGGCTGCATTCTTCACCAGCTCGTCGATGATAGTATTTCCAACCACTAGCCACGATTCAGCACGATGGTCCATGACATCCTCGGCGGTGAGGTGTGAGTTCGCGAACTTGACCTGCACTAATTCAGGTGACCGATGCATAAGTAGTTGGCCGATGCGGGCCCATTCGTCTCCGTCTTCACCTCTGTGGTGTAGATAGGCCTTAGAAACCCAGCCCTTGTATACGTTCTCACAATCCGTCACATACAAAATGGGCCCTTGACTGGCCCAGATGGCTAGCCACAGCCCCCGAAGTTCATCCCGACCAACAACCTGTCGAGGTCCTGTCAACGGTCCGGTGATGAAACACTCAACCTGTGGGTCGACGTAGTTGGCGACAGTGGCGATCCCTAGCGCGACCCTCCGTAACCTGCTGTCTGCAGTATCTGGGCCACCACTTGCATCTCCGAAAATGACTGTGGGGTCGGACTCAGTGCCCATGGGCAGACATCCTTCAAACACACCGTCATACAGACCACCACATGTCCAAGAATGTTCCTGCGGGGGCTCAGGGGTCTTGGTCCAAGCGGCTGGTATGAGACCTCTGTGCCAGAAACAAGCGTGCATCTCGTGCTGCGTTCTGGCCTCCCCCTCGAGACACTCGCTGTTGGTATATGCAACTGCATCTCTATTATGAGAACAACTCCAGTACCTGTGATAGGAAGTCTCGGGACCTTCCCCACAACGGTCGCAGTTCACATGAGGAGGAGGAGGAGGAGGAGGAGGAGGAGGAGGAGGAGGAGGAGGAGGAGGAGGAGGAGGAACTCCGTCGACGTGACTTTTCACCACAGCGCCGACCCCCTGAGGTCTGGACCCCCTCCCCGGGACCTGTCGGCGGCCCGGGTCGCTGCCCGACGGCCCCGGGGGCCCGGCGGAGGTCCCCCCGAGGGCCGCAGGCGGCCACCACCGGCCGCCCGCCGGGGTCTTTCGCGCGGCGAGGGAAGGGAGAACCAGGGGGGCGGCGGGGAGAGCGCCTGGCGGGTCCCAGGGGGGCCCGGGGGCGGTCCAGGGGGGGATCCAGGGTTCGAGGGCAGAAGGTCCACCCCCATAGTAGTCACCCCGACGAGCGAGGCCGCTCGGCACACGCATGACAAGGAAGGAATGGAACAGGGCAGGGCTGCTTCGCAAATTCCGAGGGCCGTTTCGTGGACGTCAGCTGTCGGGTCCGGGTGGTCTCTCCTCCCTTGAAGGGTTGCGAGAGGGGGTCCCGGGGGGTTCAGGGGAGGAGGGAGGGGAGGGGGAGGGGGAGGGGGAGGGGAGGGGAGGGGGAGGGGAGGGGAAGGGGGGGGAGGGGGAGGGGGAGGGGGAGGGGAGAGGAGGAGGAGGAGGAGGAGGAGGAGGAGGAGGAGGAGGAGGGAGGAGGAGGAGGAGGAGGAGAAGAGGAGGGAGGAGGAGGAGGAGGAGGAGGAGGAGGAGGAGGAGGAGGAGGAGGAGGAGGAGGGCGCCCCAGGGCCCGAGCCCAGAGGTGGTCCGCACGGCGCCGCCTCGGGCGCCTGTGCCCGTCGGCGGCACGCATCACGAGCGGCCCTGGGCAAGGAGGTGGCCTTTTGGGATGCGCGACTCTCGGGAGCCGCCGGGAGGCCGAAGCGCAGCGCGCGGGCCGCTGACCCCGCAGCGCATGCAGCCATCTGGGGACCCGGGTCTGGTGGTCGGTAGGGCGATTTTTGTTGCACAATCGCCACGATCGTTTTTCGATGGTTTTCGTTCGACGATTCGTACCTGCATCGCCATTTACCATACTCTTCGTCATCGTCATCAACAGCAGCATCATAATCACCATCACCATCACCATCACCATCACCATCACCATCATCATCACCACCACCACCACCACCACCATCATCATCATCATCATCATCATCATCATCATCATCATCATCAGTATCGTCATCTTCATCACTATCATCATCACCATCACCATCACCATCACCATCACAACCACCACCATCATCATCATCATGATCATCATCATCATCATCATCATCATTATTATTATTAGTAGCATCGTCATCATCATGATTATTCTTATTCTCCGCATCATAATCGTCGTCATCGTCATCGTCATCACCATCACCATCATCATCATCATCATCATCATCACCATCACCATCATCATCATCATCATCATCATCGTCAACATCGCAATCACTGGCGTCATATCATCATCATCATCGTCAAAATCGCAATCACCAGCATCATCGCCCTCCTCCTCCTCCTCCTCCTCCTCCTCTTCCTCACAATCATCATCATCACCATCATCATCATGAACATCATCCTCCTCCTCATCATCCAACTTATAACCACCATCATCACCAGCACCATCACCATCATCATCACCTTACCTATCACCACATTATCATCATTGTCATCCTCATCCTCATCCTCATTACCAATAGCATCGCAATCATCGTTATCATCATCATCATCGTCATCAGCATCATCACCACTAGCATCATCACCAGCATAAGCATCAGCATCAGCATCAGCACAATAACCATCATCATCATAATTATTATTACCCCCATCCTCATCCTCATCCTCCTCATCCTCATCATCCCCCTCCTCCTCCTCCTCCTCCTCCTGACAACCATCATCATCGCCATCATCATCATCACCATCGTCATCATCATGATTCTCATCCTCCTCATTATCACCACCACCGTCATCATCACCATCATAATCATAATATCGTCATATCATCATCATTATCACCGTCACCATCACCATCACCATTATCATCATCGTCATCATCATCACAAGCCTCATCACAATAGTCATCATCATCACCACCATCATCATGATGATGATGATCATGAACATCATTGTCATCATCCTCATCCTCATCATCATGATCATCGTCAACATCGCAATCACCAGTATCTGTGTAGTGATCACCATCATCATCATCAGCATCATCACCAGCATCAGCATCAGCATGAGCATCAAAATCATCATCCTCATTATTATCATCATCATCGTAATCCTCATCATCATCATCGACATCATCATTAGGATCACCATCATCAGTACCACCATCATCATCATCATCATCATCATCATCATCATCATCATCATCATCATCATCATCATCATACTCATCATCTCCATCGTCATCGTCATCGTCATCGTCATCGTCATCATCCTGATTATCATCATTATCACCATCGCCATCATCATCGTCGTCGTCGTCATCATCATTAGCATCCTCATCCTCATCCTCATCGTCATCCTCATCCTCATTTCCATCCCCATCCTCATCCTCATCCTCATCCTCGTCCTCATGCTCATCCTCATCCTCATCATCCTCATCCCCATCCTCATCCTCAGCGGGCACACGGAGTGTGGCCGTACCCAGAGGCCACTCCGGCGAAAGGTCACTCGCACGTGCTGCCGACCCCCTGCGCCCTCGTCTCCGTGGCCCCGGGCGCCTGCTCCCGCTCCCAGGGGCTGACGGCCCGCCTCTGCGGGCGGCCTGCTGGGGCTGGGCTCCCTGCCGGGACACGCCCAAGACGGGGCGACGACACCTGCGCACGACCGCTGCCCCTGGCCCGGCCCCTCCTGGGCCCAGGAGCGGTGCATGCGCCCTCCTGGCTCGGCCAGGAGGGGCGCATCTCCCAAACGAGTGCCTGCGCTTGGGTTTTCGTTATGGTTTTCGACCGAACAAGGCTGGTGTGTCGCTCTGGCGGCTATGTGGCCGCCGTCCCGTCGCCGCCTCGTCGTCTGGGCTGGTGTGCCGCTCTGGCGGCTATGTGGCCGCCGTCGCGACCCCTTAGCCGCCCGTCTGGGCCTGTCTGTCAGTCGCCGCGCTTATTGCTGCCGTCGCCGCCCCGTCGCCGCCCGTCGTCTGGACCTGTCTGTCGGTCGCCACGCGTGTTGCGACCGTCGCCGCTTCGCCGCCACCTCTGTCTTCGGTCGCCGCGCTTGTTGTCGCCATCGCCGCCCCGTCGCCTCCCTACATAGATTGCACAACATATGTTTCGCAATGTAGATTCTCTTTTTTGGACAGATAATCGCATCTCCCCCCCCGGAACTAACGGCCCCCATTCGTGTATTGCAATTTACGTATGTTCCTGCCCCATCGTCCATCTTAGATATGAACTCGTACCGTCCCAGCCATGCCGGCATTCCCTCTTCCACCTTCTGCAACACATACGATGTGTGCACACCCGGTTATCACAACTCGTTAATTCCCAACATTTTTTGGGGAAAACGGGACGAACTGCACACGCGCGCGTCGTCGCGCGCGCATGCCGAAATCTTTCAACACTTAGGTTTCGTAGAAATTTCAAAATCGAATGTCCTGAAACATGAGAAACATACAGTCTCGTAGTAATAATGTTCAAACACAGCATGCGCTCGCGCTCTGGCAGATTCTCGCAACAACCATTTTTTCTCTTTTCCCGCATTATCATCGCATGCAACCAAAAGGGCCTCTCGCTCTCATGTCGACATCGCTCGACCGCCCTTGCGCAAATGCTTTCGCAAGAACCCTTCGCAACAGATTTGACGAAATGCGCACGCGCGCCTCGTCGCGCGCGCATGCGGCAATCCTTCGACAGCCTTAGGTCTCGTACGGGTTTCAAAATCGAATGTCCCGAAAACGCCGAAAACACACATGGTTTTGCAGCATCGATTTTCAAGACTGCATGCGTTCACGCTACAGCGAATTCTTAATCATACTATCGGTTGTCAGCGTTGTCATGACATTCGGCCAGACGGGCCTCTCGCGCCGCATGTCGTGATCATTCGAAATTGTTGACGCTTCGCGTATCCCCACCAGCCCATCCAGAAACGATGCTCAGGGGAGTTGAGGTGATCAGGGAAGTCGGGGAGCATGCAGAATAACAAAGGGCGGGGGAAGCTGTCACAGACCCCGAGAGGGGGAGGATGGAAGAGGAGTCGTCGTCGTCGTCGTCGTCGTCGGAGGAGGAGGAGGAGGAGGAGGAGGGGGAGAGGAGGAGGAGGAGGAGGAGGAGGAGGACGGAGAAGGAGGAAGAATCGGAGGAGGAGGAGGAGGAGGGGAAGGAGCTTCTTGGGGGTCTTTTGAGGGCCTCTTGGAGGGCTTTTTGGGCGCCTTGGGGCATCTTGGGCGCCTCTTGGGACCCTCTTGAGGCGCTCTGGGGAGCCTTCGGGGCGCTTTTGGGGCCATCTTGGAGGGAGTCGATCAAACAAGAGGGGGGGTTTAATTAGCGCCCCCCCTCGGAAGCCCCTAAAATCGCCTCTTGGACCCCTCTTGGAACGCTCTTGGAGTGCTCTTGGGCGCTCTTGGGGCCGTCTTGGGGCTCTTTTGGGGCTCTCTTGGGGCCCTCTTGGGCCATCTTGGAGCCATCTCCAGGCCTCGGATGGCCATCGGAAGCGAAAAGGCGAGAAAGCAAAAATCATTGATTTTCCTTAGGTTTTGGGACGATTTTGGCCTCTTCGGGGCCTCCTTGGGGAGCTGTTTGGCCACTTGGAGTTATCTTGGGGCCGTCTTTGGGCTTCTTGGAACCATCTTAGGAGCCATCGTGAGCGATCTTGCGCTATCTTGAGCCATCTTGGAGCTCATCTTGGGTTCTCTGAGGCGCTCTTGGAGCCGTCTTGGGCCATCTTGGACGCTCTAACTACCCGCGGCCCCCCCCGTCCAGGTCCAGGGGAGGGGGTAGGGGGAGGGGTAAACCCCTCCCCAAGGGGGAAGAGGGAGGGGTGGAAGAGGATCTGCTCTAGACCACCTACGCCCAGAGGGCTGGTGGGACTCTTTGCGCGCGTGCTGGGGCAGGCACGATCCGTGTCAAATAGTACCATGCTGGCCGCTTGCGCGCGTCGGACGCACGCGCAAACCGAATCCCACCAGCCCTCTGGGCGTAGGTGGTCTAGAGCAGATCCTCTTCCACCCCTCCCTCTTCCCCCTTGGGGGGGGGTTTACCCCTCCCCCTACCCCCTCCCCTGGACCTGGACGGGGGGGGCCGCGGGTAGTTAGAGCGTCCAAGATGGCCCAAGACGGCTCCAAGAGCGCCTCAGAGAACCCAAGATGAGCTCCAAGATGGCTCAAGATAGCGCAAGATCGCTCACGATGGCTCCTAAGATGGTTCCAAGAAGCCCAAAGACGGCCCCAAGATAACTCCAAGTGGCCAAACAGCTCCCCAAGGAGGCCCCGAAGAGGCCAAAATCGTCCCAAAACCTAAGGAAAATCAATGATTTTTGCTTTCTCGCCTTTTCGCTTCCGATGGCCATCCGAGGCCTGGAGATGGCTCCAAGATGGCCCAAGAGGGCCCCAAGAGAGCCCCAAAAGAGCCCCAAGACGGCCCCAAGAGCGCCCAAGAGCACTCCAAGAGCGTTCCAAGAGGGGTCCAAGAGGCGATTTTAGGGGCTTCCGAGGGGGGACGCTAATTAAACCCCCCCTCTTGTTTGATCGACTCCCTCCAAGATGGCCCCAAAAGCGCCCCGAAGGCTCCCCAAAGCGCCTCAAGAGGGTCCCAAGAGGCGCCCAAGATGCCCCAAGGCGCCCAAAAAGCCCTCCAAGAGGCCCTCAAAAGACCCCCAAGAAGCTCCTTCCCCTCCTCCTCCTCCTCCTCCGATTCTTCCTCCTTCTCCGTCCTCCTCCTCCTCCTCCTCCTCCTCTCCTCCCCTCCTCCTCCTCCGACGACGACGACGACGACGACGACGACTCCTCTTCCATCCTCCCCCTCTCGGGGTCTGTGACAGCTTCCCCCGCCCTTTGTTATTCTGCATGCTCCCCGACTTCCCTGATCACCTGAACTCCCCTGAGCATCGTTTCTGGATGGGCTGGTGGGGATACGCGAAGCGTCAACAATTCCCTCCAAAACCTTCATCGCCGACGCGAAAACGCCGTCATCGTCGTCGGCGTGATGAGCATCGGCGCCGTCACTGGCCTTGCCGCCGTCGTTGTCATCATCGACGCTAGCATCGTCACTACAATCATCGTGTCTACCGTTGTCGACGTTGCCATGAGGACGCGCCCGCCCAAGTCCCCGACTCGCATTGAAGTGCCCGCGTGGAAGTGCCTAGCGGTCGGCGTCACCGCGGCCGCGTCGGTCGCGCCAAACTTGCTGGCCGCTTCGCGCGCGAGCATGCGCGCTAGCGCGGCCGCGGCGACGAGCCAACCAGCGCCGAGCAGTCATTGCAATTGCCGCCGCATGGGTTTCACAAAATAAGTAGCGGGTGGGTCGGTGGGGCGATTGCGCGAGCAGTGGAATTCACAACCTCGAGCTCGGCAAGGTGACTTGCATGACATGCATTGCGCCGCGTGTGTTGCGCCACGTAGATTGCGCGCCACATAGATTCTCTTTACTGCAAAAGACTCTACATCCCCGGGATTATCGGTATCCCTTTTTGTATTGCAATTTGCATGTGGTTCTGCCCCATGGTCCACCCTAAATATGAACCCATACCGTCCCAGTCCAACCAGCGTCGACCCCCCCGTCATCTTCTGCGCAAAATACTATGCGCGCGCACTCGTTGATCAACAACCAATACTTTCCAGTGTCGACACCGTTCGAACGCGCGCGCGCCTTGCGCGCGTGCCGTCGCGACAACCTTTTGCAGCATATGTGGCGAAGTACACGCGCGCGCGCGCGTCGTCGCGCGCGCATGCCGAAATTCATCAAAAATCTTCGGCTTCGTAACGACTCCACAACCGAATGTCCAAAACACATTCAAAACCACATGGTTTGGCAACATCAAATGTCAAACCGCGCGCGCGCGCGCGCTCGTGCGATTGCTTCAGACAACCATCGATTTTCAACACTTTCGTGGAATCCTGCTAAACGGGCCTCTGGCGCCGCATGCCGACATCATTCGCGCGCCCTTGCGCGCGTGTTCGGGGGGCGCGATCCGTGTCGCTTAAAAACGCGCGGGCCTCTCTCGCGCGTCGGTGGCGCCAAACTTGCCAGCAGCTGCGCGCGCGCTAGGGTTGGTGCGGACGCGTGGATGCACCAACCAACGCCAAGCATGCATCGCAATCGCAACCGCCTGGGTTTTGCAAACCGAGGTGCTGGTGGGTGGAAGGGTTTGAATTGCTTAATATAGGCTGCGCCGGATAGATTGCACAACGAAGATTGCACGCCAAATATTCTCCGTTCTAAAAACAGAACAGACTCCACCCCCCCTGGAGTTATCACTCCCCCTTCGGGTATGTAAAACATATATGATTCGGACCACATGTCCATCCTAAATATGAAATTGCAATGTCAAGTGCCAACCGGCATCCCCCCCCGTTTTTTTTTTTTTTTTTTTTTTTTTTTTTTTTTTTTTTTTTTTTTTTTTTTTTTTTTTTTTTTTTTGTGTGTGTGTGTATATATATATATATTATATATATATAATATATATATATATATATATATATATATATATATACTCTGTGCGGTGACATTTTTTGTTAAAACATAACACTTTTTTCGCGAATCCCTTGCAAAAAAGGGGACGAAGTGCACACGCACGCGTCGTCGCGCGCGCATGCCGAAATCCGTCAGAAACCTTCGGTGCCGGAAGGAT